CCTCAGCTGGACTGGTGAAAATTAGCAGACAGGAAATAAGGCTACGTTCACACTGCAGGCGAAAGCGCATCAAATCCGATTTTTTTGACCCTATGCGACCCATATCCGATCATGGTATGACAGTGTGAACGGCACAAATCCGATATTTTCAAATCCGATCTGGGTCACTTTTGTATGTGGTACTGAATCCGATACATATCCGATGTTTCAGAAAGCGACTGCTGTTTGAACGGTCATTTCGCATTAAATCCGTCTTTTACGTCACTGACACAAGACAGACGCCAATTATCAGCGTCGGAGAAGCGCCCGATAAGACATTGCGAACGCTTCCTGGCCGTCCAGTGTAGATGTTAGTGAAACTGTTGGGAAGACAACGTTGGAGAAACGTGAACATTTTATTTGTGCTGTATAATCTGTAGATTCTGACAGAAATCTGCAACTATCCTTTGAAGCACCGCTCCTCTAAAACAGCAATAAGGATAATTATTAGGTTATTTACATTATTATGTAAATAACAAAATAACTTAAAGCAAAAATTGGGAAACGTAAAGTCGGAAGTCTTTATATTAACGGCCATCAGTCAAACAATATTGTTTGCTCAGGGTATAACCAGAGTGCGTTGTGTGTGACGTCTTCTTTTGCGCATGCGGGCCGCTTTTAGCATTCACACTAGAGCGCGTTTGCTGTTGCATTTTATTTGTAGTGTGAACACGCAGACAAAAAAATCGGATTTGATCAAAAAATCGGAATTGAGCATTAAGACCTGCAGTGTGAACGTAGCCTAAGTGTCCCCTTCAGTCTGGGCAGAATGAAGTGTTTAACCCTTTAAGACCTACCACAGAACCAAGTCTGCCAGAGCTTATATTATATTTTTACATGTTGTAGTGCCATTTTTGGGAGCATTTCAAGTTGCTATACATCAATACAACCATTACAGCCTAAATGTTAATAATATGCATGCATTAAGTGCATAGTAATTACATAAATTGCAAAAAATTGCAATAAACTACAAAAAAATTGAAAATCGTTTTTGTTTTTTAACATATATTTCTAGTTAGAGAAATTTAAGAGGCTTATCCCTCAAAACTGTAAATACAAAAAAGTTGCACAAACAAGTTTCCCACCACAGGAAATTTATTTTGAGTGTCTTCATAGTTTTATTTTTGAAATACACCAATTTCTATACACTGCAGGAAAAACGAAAATAAATATTATAGTGCAAATTTGCAAAAAAGCAGCATATGCATCAAAATAAACTATTTCCAGCAGTGCAATATGAGTCCTAAGCATCCCAGAAACGACAGAGAAAGTCATAAAGTCAAACATAACTTTTAAAAACACCAGTATAGGCTCATGAGGCCTTGGTGGTAAAAAACTACATTTCCGCGACAATGACGTCACTTCCGGTTTCGGGCAGGACATGACGGACATGCGATAGTTTGTGCTGATGGACGTAGGAAGTGTTATGAACAGCTGATCGGATCGGCAAAGCCTGTTTCTGGAATATTATGGGTTTTTTTGCTGCAAGTGCTTTTTATCCAGTTTTTGCAAAGCTTTATGTGGAAGGAAACTGTGACCTAGGACAAGCTGATGCCATAAGATGTAAGTACAACTCCTCCGGTTTCATATGCAAAAACAATTATTGCGCTACCACGCTAGCTCACGTGGTTGCAGTGCTACCGGGATTTTAAAATAGTTACGCAAAACGGAGCGTGCCCGCTCTGACCGGTTTTAAAGGGTTAAATGAACTGGTTAAATATTGATGTTGAATTTCTTATTGACTTTTCGTAGTGGTGTATCCATTTGTCTTTTTATCTCTGATTGTTCTGTTTAGGATCATAAGAATAAATCATTTTGACCAATGATGTTGTGTGACATTGTGAGCTAAAAAGTTCAGCACTTTTTTAAAGCACTCTTACTATTTTGTTAGTTATACTCCAAAACATTGTTTGAATTTATGAACTTATGATGTTTTCAGTGTTTTGGATCAGGTCAGCTGAGAAAAGTTCAGACAAGTCGATGACGATGTGAAATCATGTTTGAGATTTCAAATCAATATTTCAGGTCATGTATCAAGTAAAAAGTCACTAAAGGCAGTTCAAGTCTGTTTGGTGCTTCATCCCCAAGATTTTATCTTCAGTTATTTTCTTGAACTGAAACTCTTATTGTTGTAAACTGCTGTGTTGGCCTCTACTTTATGTTGCAGGTTTAGAACCTGATCGCAACTAGTCTGAAGTTTACTCTGTTCTCTGTTGTGATTAATGCCAATAAAAAGTAACAATTACAAGCCTGTGTTCACTAACAGTCTGTTCGATACTTCTAGAAGATATCATCTTTCATTTCCTCACTGAGGAAAATGAATGAAGAGAGAATAAAACAGGGTTGGTTGAGGGAGCAAGTGGATGAAGAGGAAAGGGAGTGAGGAAGAAAAATAGTTAATAGTTTGTGGTGGATTTTTGTATGATATGTATAACTATCTAACTATATACACTATATGCCTATCTGCACTGAACATATATACTCTAATTTTCACTGTAACTTTCATGTAGCGTCTTAAGCACAGGGTTTTCGGGAGGAGCCGTGCTGCTCTCTGATAGGAAGCAGGACCATGCTCTCCTGGAGAATGGAACAACTTAAAAATTCGATTAGAGTGTTATCTATTCTAAATATCGCTTGGAAAAGTAGAGTCAGCTAGTAAAGCATGCACTTTAGAACAGCACACAGCAACACTACATCTGAGCGGACTACACCTTTCTTGGCTGCTGCCTCAAAGCACATTGTGCGCTGTCTATCTTGCGTGCTGCACAATAGCGTTTAATATTTAGTATCTACTGTTATCTACTGCTAGCTAGTTTATTGTGATGGTGCTGTATTTATCATTTTTTGTTTTTTGTTTGTTTTCTCTTCTGTTTTTTTTTTCTCTCCATACAGGTGATCCAGGTGTTTTGTTTGTTTTTCTTTCTTCCCCCCTTTCTCACCGTCTCTTCTCCCCTCTGTTTTTCTTTCTCTCCCTCTCTTTCTTTCATTCTTTCTCCCTGTCCTATCCCTCAGTCATGTCTGTCCCGTTTGTAGCAACCGAAAATAAAATAAAATAAATACATAATTATAATAAAGGTCAATCAAATGGACCAATATGGCAAGGCCATGATGATCCACTCGGTAAAATAGATCCGCTTGGCATCTTTCTTGGCCTTAAGACAACAATTCTGATGGCTAAAGATCCAAACGGGACAAAAAAAAAAAAGAGTCTTAAGCACAAGACATTTTGCTTCACCGTAGTTTATTAAGGTTTTACATTAACAGGACAGTTAATGCTGTCGAGAGTTTGCCTGAATAACTCATCTCCAGCTCCGGTAACTAACCTTCCCTAATACACACTCAACGTCTTTCATGCAGCACAACCAAAACAGTAACATTGTAACAGAGCACGATTAAAATATCATACAATATAATCACACACACACACACACACACACACACACACACACACACACACACACACACACACACACACACACAGCTGATTGGCTGAAGTAGGGTTCAATAAAACTTGTTGGTTGTTGGTTTGTGCACTGCTCACCTCCACATTAAATAAACTGCTGCTCATGTGTGTTTGTAGGTTCTCAGTCATCCAGGTCATGGTTGTCTAAGGAGCCTGGAAAGAAAGCGACTTCACTTCTTTAAGGTTCTGGATGATGTTTAACTTCTTATCCAAGAAACGTCTTCACTTCATGAGCTTCCTTTGCTCATGTTATACCTCCGGGCAGTTTAATTTAATGACCATGCAGTGCAGTGCTCTCAAACACACAGCAGAGGGCGCTATGCACATTCCCTGACGTTAAGAAAAATACAAGTGGAGGAGGAAACAAACAGCAGCATTGAAAGAGAAAACTGAAGAGTTCAAAACGAGTTAATTTAGTCTCTTATTGTAATAACAAACAACATTTAAACTTCACGTTGATGCTTCACGTTAAAAGAGCTCTGTGTGCTTTTACTGCTCAGTAGGAAAATATTGATGCAATTTAAAAGACGTTGTTTTAATTAGCATTTAATGATATCTACTTTGAAATGTTTTCACTACTTCACAGGAAATTTGAATGTGCTGCCTAATATGGAAAATGAATCATGATGAAATCCTGAAACCTATTCTCATATTAATTTTCTTTTAATATTCTACAGGTCTAAAAATAAAAACCTCCAGTGACAATAAGCAATATAAATATTTTTTTAAAAACTAAATGTTTCAGAGCTTTGATGAGGTGGAACACATTCTCAGTTTATTGGTTATGAGAATAGTTATGACAGTGTTTACGCGAGAAGCATTAGAGTGAAATAGTTTTGTGTAACAGCGACATCTGGTTTGAGTAATAGTGTCCATGAGCTTTGTGAATATTAAAAGATTAGTTTTCACTTTGGTCTTAGAAGTATAAAAATGCAGGACTGAAGATAAGATGGAAACAATGTATTATGAGATATAAAATACATATGTTCATATGTACTATAATTTTATTTTATTTATGTTCTGTTTTTGGGGGTGGGGGTTGTGTGATTAGAGTTGGGACAAAACAATGGACAGTTTCAAAAAAATGCATTTTATCAACAAAACTTATTTTGATAGTTACTGTATTTATTTTAATGCCCTGTATAGTGAAGTGATTAAAAGAAAAGTTTATCTGCCACCAATGAGCCAACAGCCTCCACGTAAACATTTTCAGCCTCAACAATCAGCTCAGATTCATGAAGTTTATCATGTTCAGGCCCTGCAGCTGATTGGTGGCATGTCTGATCAGAAAGCCTTTCTGCATCTTCACAGTGTGAGTCTGAGAGTTTCTGAACAACAGGATGAGTTGCTACACACCTGACACCACATTCAAACACACACAAGCTGCAAATCTAACACAATAATTTAGACCAAACAAAAAGGTTCACAATTTGCAGTTAACATGAAGATATTCTAGAGCAGAAACCACACACAGCACACAAGTTTCATGTAGAGATGATTGTTTATTCTGGATGTTATTTTCATTCAGTTATTTTCCATTACTTTATGGATAAATTGTCTGGTTTATCCATTTCATGTAAGAACAGACATTCACAGTAACAGCTGGTACAGTACAGGCACGTACACCACTGCCACTGAATACACCATAAATCACGTTGTTGTAAATCACTCCACCACCAGAATCACCCTGAGAGAGAAAAATATAGTTTGTGTTCAAGTTTCTTCCAAAAGATCTAAAACATACAGAGATGATATACAGTAATGTTAGCAGTCAACTTACCCCACGTATATCTACATTAGGTTCTTCCAGACACAGCCTGTTGTCATACGGCACATCTGAATAACATGGAGAGTTTCTGGTAGGCTCACAGTCAACAACATGCATGTCTGCACACTGGAGATGAGGTGGTTGGCCAGGAACTGGAGAAAAAAGCCAAAGAACAAAAGTCATTCATAACCTTTCAAAAACTAAAATCTTGAGGAAATTGATGTTTTGTCTTTTTTCTGGATGTTTCCAAATGATTTTTAAACAAGGAACCTGGCATACAGTATATCTACTATAAAATTTAAAATCTTTGTTTATATTACAGTAGTCAAATAAAACGTGAATGTAACTGTAAAACAGACACAGAAACCAAAATAAAGTCTAGCATAAACTGTGAAATAATTCATCAAAAAACTTTCTTACGTGTGTGGCCTGTCGCATTTACCCTATACCCACCAAGTCCTGCAACCTGAACGACGTCTCCTCTAGAAACAGACCAATAAATAATAATCAATTAATTTCAGGTCCATCCATGTGTTTTAAACATCAAATAAATTAATAAATCTCAAAATTTCAACTTTATTCTCAAAATGATCTATACTATGTTTTTTTTCTGGTCATCAAGTCGCTTCCACACAGCTTTACTAAGAAGCTTATAAACATGTTTGATTCACAAGGAAAATTCTGACACTTTCTGCTGCATTAACAACACACTGTCATTTACCTGCTACTGCCTCATGGCTTGGCTCCTTTTGTATGGGCTACAAGATACTAGATACTTTTTTTTAGTCAAGGTCTGCTTATAACACAAGAATGAACAAATTGAGAGCTGTTTTTTTACAGTCTTGGGATTTGGTCATCTTGATGAGCAAACAGTTCTCAAGCAATGCAGAATCCATGAATTAGGCGCAATCCTCTCAGCCATAGACTGTCAGCATTAGTCAGACAGGGCAAATTAGTATGATCGCAAAAATGGGTTGACGTCAGCAGAAACCCAGCAAACATCTACTCAAAATGTAAAAATACACTCAAAATAAAAGTTGAAGAGATGTTGCAGATCTTGCTACAGTGTTGCTTTGAGTTATGTCTTTATGTCTAATGTGTTAAGTTGTGTTAAGCATATTAGATGGTGTTTAAAAAAACAAAAAACAAAGATACATGTGGTTACAGAGGCTCTTAACCTTCCTGCGATTTTATTTTAAGTGTTCGAGATGTTGCCTTCCCATCAACTCAAAGCAGGCTGGCCATTCTGATATCTGGCACTGACGAAGCATTTTCATCCAGAAAACTGCGACTCAGTGGATATTTTACTTTTTCATGCCACTTTCTGTATACCCTAGAGATGGTTGTGTGTGTGTGCTATAAATAATATAAAAATATATAACAGCAAAATACAACACTGTTGTTGCAAATCAAAGAAAAGTTGCAGAAACATTATGGTTTGATCATCACTGTGCTATTGGTGCTGCTGTTTTTAATCTAACATGACAGCCACAAATTGGAGATCTGAAACTTTAAACGGCGTACATTTAAAACAGGTCACTCACTGTTTTCAATGCCCATAGCTTAATAAAGAAGGTCAGGAAGTCACTTTATTTTGGCTCCAGATCAAATTGAAATTTGTAGATTGAACAGCTGATAAATAGTTTACAAATGTAACTGATACATTTTCTAATCTGTGTTGTATTAGCTGTATTTCCAGCAGTGTGAAGCAGAGCAGATTCAAACCAAACCTGTTTGCTCCTAAACTGATGGTGTTAGTAATGTATGTCTTAACAAGTTGCTTATATAAAACTTATTAGTTCAGCAGACAATCTATGTCATGTTTAAAGCATACTATAAATTAAATAACTAATGAAAATTTGATGCTTCCTGCTCATTTTACACAAAAACTCTGAACATAATCTCAACAGGAGCATATTTCCATGGTGATCTTACCAGGTAACAAGAGAGCCACCTGAAACACTGGAAACTTAGAAATTAGGCTCAGCGTGCATCACTAACAGATTAACCTTGCTTCACTGTCCACCACTCTGAAGCCAGTCGCCCAGAAGAGGGAGACTAAATTCTGAAAAGGCTGCCGACCCAGTACTTCATAATAATATGCTAAAAATACAGAAATGTTATTGAAGTTGTGTGATTGGGTTAAAAACAGTATGTGGAATTCTGACTACTGCAATACAAAGTTAAAGAATTACCAATATGAAATTGTGACATTTAATTAAAAAAACAAATAAAATAAAAAACAGTCATCTGGCACAGGTAATCATTGGGTAGAAAAAAACTCAAAACATTAACATAAGAACCTGAAACATCTTATATCAGCATCTCAAGGATGAATACACAGTAATTTCATGAAAACTCACATTTTAGGCGGTTTGTTACAGTCAGGTAAGGCTACAGGCTGAATCCCAGTCAGTGGCTCAGAAAGTTCCAGTAGCATGATGTCATGCTTTCTATTAAAGATATTTGTCTTCCATATGTTTTTCTCAAAGAAACTGAAGACAGCTGTCTTCAGTGTGTGAAAGAAGCCTTGTTTATAGGGCTTTTTCTTTGCCACTTCCTGGTCCTGTCCTGGACCTGGATGAACTCCAACAATCTCACTCAGAGTCCTGCACAAGAGAAATAGTGACTGTACTATTAAAATATGAGAATGATGAATGTTGTTATTATCTTATTGTTGCTATGAAAAATTATTGGTAATTATTTTTGCTTCAGTATTTTAAGACACATTGCAGGACAATTTGTTAATGAATTTTCTTTATGTAAAAACTGTAGATTTCTCACCATCCTCTCTCCTGGCAGTGAGCTGCAGTCAAAACCCACCGTGGATGGATCAGTGAGCCGCCACAGTAGCTCTGTTTTTGTCCCTTTTGTGAAATAACTTTCACGTGATAGTGACGCTCATTTTGACAGTCGTGACCACCATAGATTCTCTTGCGCAAATCCACCACGGTGCTTACTGTGACACCTGAAATACAGTACAGTACAATAAATTGTTGTTTTTTTTACTTTACTTAAGTACAATTTTGAGGTACTTTACCTAAGTAGTTCTTTTTTTCTGACTACTTTTTACTTTTACTCCCTACTCTTCAGATTCAAGCTAAGTATAATTAGAATGAAAAAAAGTTAGGCTAAAGTTTGTATTCCCATCAACGGATGTTATGTTATTACATACAGTTCATTTAGCTTTGCACATAGAAAGAGATACTTTTTACATGAGTACATTTCAGAGCCGGTACCTTTCTACTTTTACTTGGGTAAAGAGTTGAATCAGTACTTCAACTTATACTGCAGTATTTTTTTAAAAGTAGTATTTGTATTTCTATTTAAGTACAGAATGTCTGTACTTTTGCCAACTCTGGTTAAAAGTGAATTCTGGGTTTCAAAAAAGAAAAGAGAGACAGGTGGAAGTTAAACTCGTAGCAAAGCCCAAATAAAATAAAGTTTGACTTTCCCAGTATTAGTTAGCTCACTTCTTTCTACTTCTAGCAGAAAATATTTTGTTCTTTTTGTAGCCACCGTGTAATCGATGCTGGCGTCCGGTTTGTACATATAAATACTAAATCACTTACCCTGACCTGCTGCCAGGATAAAGACATTAAACCTCTGGCTCAGGCTTAGCTGCCCCAGTCCAATCTACTCATACCTACACTCCAGACACTGAGCCACTGATATCTGAAGAAGCAGCATTTTGCACACTGTGACTGTTGCAGGTGGGGAGACCTTTCATTTAAAACAGATTAAAACCCATTTGAGTTCCACTAGGTCTAAAGACAGAGATGTATTTTACATTGCTAGACAATGTTTGAAAATTGATATTAAAGGGATTACTTAAGTGATATTTGCCAAGCAGTAAAACATTCTTTTGCACCACCATATAGATGAGAATTTGAATTTAGATTTAAATTTGAAAAGTTCACACATATTTCTTTATATTCGTATTTGGTGTGAGGTACGTAAAAAAACAAACAACCAAACAAAACCAAAAGAAAAATCCCCACAAAACCCCACAAAAAATAAACACAAAACAAAACATCTAATAAAGTTATCATTAAAAACATTTAAATGTAAAAAAAAGGCTTTCACATCTCTTACATTTCATATCAGTCATTATCAATAAATCTACTCATCTAAGCAGAGTAATGATCCATGTCTGTGCAGTGTTATACTTGGATTGGCATGGTTTGCAATACTACGGTGGTGAGGCACAACGTGCTATTTCTTTCACACAGCTCAGAGTCCCTGATAGCAGCACTGGGACCAGACAACGAGCTTTTAAAAGAAAAGCTGTAAAAAGTCTCCTGAATGAAAAAAAATCTCTAATAATTAAAAAAAAAACAAAAAACCCACAGAAACCTGGAACCATAACAGCAAAACTTGGTTAACGCAGATATCTGATTACCCGAGGAACAGTTTTTTAAAAACAAACACACACACATACGAAATAAGTGCTGTTGTTGACTCACCAACCCACAAAAGGAGAAGGAGGAACTTCAGATGAGCCATTGCTGTCATTCAGCTTGCAGTGAATGCTGTGCTGGGACTTTTTAAACCTCTTCTCACTGTACTGGTGGTCATGGAGTCACCAATCACAGAGAAGAACTTTATCAACAACACTCCATTGGCTGGAACGTTCTTCATGCAAATATTGAATATGTCTTGTTTTTTAAAAAAATTAATGTGTTGCTCCTCGTTAATTACCTTGCTTTTCTTCCCGGAAAAAAGAAGGTAATTAACCTGGAGTTTTTATACAGCCAGACTGGGAAACTAAGCTCATGGTTTCATTCCACCTGCCAGACTGCTTTGGACATCGTGGCTCCATTAAAAACCAGGCACCCTAAAACTAAATCTGAGCCCTGGCTGAACGACACGACCCGAGCTGTCACACGTGAGTGCTGTCGAGCTGGGCGTATCTGACATTATTCTGTCAAACTGCCACAAGCTGCGTGTTTTATTTAAAACCACTAATCCTGTTCTTTGTGCACCACGTACTGACTGTATGGAGCCCTCGTCTGAAGCCTGTGAAAATTTTTTACACTTTTGTAGTGAGAAGGTCTCCTCCACCAGGGCCCAAATCTGTCCTTGTGCTCATGACCCCTGCTCTGCTGTCTTTGACAGGTTTGAGCCACTCTGTCCTCTTTAAAGGAGACTGTTGGTCGTTCTAAGCCTGCAGGGTCTCCAAATGATGCTGTCCCTCCTCGAGTCTTAAAAGCGGTGTTACCTACAGTTGGACCTTTGGTTCTCGAGCTGGTAAACCACAGTTTGATGTCAGGTGTAGTCCCTGGAAAAATTTAAACATGCTGTAGTCAAACCCCTGATTAAAAAACCTGCTCTTGATCCAATGACTCTAGCAAATTACAGGCCCATCTCCAAACCTTTTCTTTCCAAAATTCTTAAAAAGATAGTTTACAGCCAATGAATGACCTTCCAGGGAAAGCAAAATGTTTTAGAGGTTTTTCAATCTTGTTTTAAACCCTTTCATAGCACTGAATAAGCTTTAATGACATATTTTTAGCTACTGACGCTGGGAACTATGTTGTTCTTGTGCTTTTAGATTTGACAACTACGTTTGATACACTGGATCATGCCATTTTACTCTGTTGTTTGGAGCACTGGGTGGGCATTAGGAACTGCGCTGGAGTGGTTCATGTCCTACTTGGTGGGGCAAACTTTTTGTGTCAGTCTCTGTGACCATGTGTCATCCTCCGCTGCTCTCTTGTGTGGTGTACCACAGGGCTCAGTTCTAGGCACCCTCCTCTTTTCTTTATATCTGCTCCCCCCTTGGTTCTATTCTGAGAAGTCACGGCCCAAACGAGAGGTCACCCAGCAGCCACAGAGCAGAGGCCAGAGGGGGTTGCAGTGATGTGCCTGCAGGCTCTGCCGGCAGCCGGCTGTGCCAGAGAGGACCAAGCCTCAGGCCCAGAGGCCAGAGGCCTGAGGGCAACCCACACCCCGGAAGGGGCCCAGCCGGGCCACAGGCGCCAGACCCCACCAATCGGCCACCAAGAGTGAGGCGGTACATATATGAGCACCCAGCCCCAGACACCAAGAGCCACCAACACACCAATGTCTGAGGGCATCAGTCACCGGCAGGGAGTGTGGTGAGGGGAGATAAGTCTCTATACCTCGGAGAGCCTGAGATGTTCCCAGACGGGTGGAGTCTAAGACCCAACCTGACATATAGACACAGATGAACAGGCGCACGCAGACACAAACGTGCCTTTCCACCCCCATATACACAAACAAATACTCGGTGCTCACCTGACGTGGAGACAGACACAAATGTACACACATTCACACTCCACAAACATACTCTATATCCCAGGTCCCGGTACCCTGCCCCCAGAGGGGCAAACCGTACCTAGACCCAGGAGATGTAACCCTTCTCTCTGGGGTGGAGGCAAGCAGACCGGCTCGTTGCAGTAGAAGGGAATTTTGCGAGCCCTGTATAGGGTGAATCTCAGTGTCTGAAATGTCACTCAGCAGTGAGCTGCTGACTAGGAGATAATCCAGGCGAGAGTAGGAGTGATGGACATGTGAAAAGAAAGTATATTCCTTACTGTTGGGGTGAAGGGAACGCCATGCATCGAAAAGACCAAGGTTGCTTATATACTGTTTGATTATATTTGTGGATTGCCAATTGCACTGAGTTCCTGCTGTATTGAGCCTATCGATTTCTTCATTTAACCCCAGTTTGAGGTCGCCCCCAAGAACAAGTGTGCAATCTAGGTGTTCAGAAAGTGCACTAAAAAATCTGTGGAAGAATGAGGGGTCATCAACCTTTGGACCATATAAACTTACAATACATAGCTTTTGATTAAGTATAGATAGTTTATGGATTAGGAATCTGCCCTCTGGATCTATAACTGTGTCGAATGTTGTGAAATTAATATTTTTCTGTATTAAAATTGCTACTCCTCTTTGTCTAGAATGATAACAGGCTGAAAACACATTAGGAAACTCAGGTGTTTTAAGTTCATTCAAACCTGTGACAGGCCAGTGAGTCTCTTATAATAAAACAACGTCTGCCTGTAGGTTTTTCAGTTGGTTAAATATTTTTAACCTTTTTTCTTGGAAACATTCAAATTAAGGCATTAAGGGTGACGGTGATGTTATACTGAAGTAGCAAACTGATATTACATAGTTAAGCAAAAGTTCATTATAAAAAACAAGTCCAGTTCTTGCCTGATTTCAACTGAATTCTGCATCAAAACAGGGTAAAACGAGTGTTTGCAGCAAATGTGAGCACAAAGCCTCACTTTGTACAAGCCTGCTATTACAGTTTTCCTCTATGCAGACGACTTTCCTGTTTCCTTCTCCTTGTCCTCGACTTCCACCCAATTGTAATTCAATCTAATTGTTTTTCTCCCTCCTCTTCCTCATTTTGTTGGAGCTGTGAAATGAATTAATGTGAATCTGAATTAATTTGTGCAAACAAGAAAAATCTACAGCTTTTCGGTCAGAGGTGGTCTTGTGATTTAAGCTGGGTAGATTTATGTGTTGATGCTACCTGCTTCAGCCCTACGACTGGCTGCTGAGTGATATTTACACCCTGGCTGGATTACAAACTTTAACCACGTGCCCAGCGTTGACACGACTTGTTAGTATAATGACCTCTTCTTGGCTTAATGTATGATGGTGGATAAATGTAATGTACAAAGAAAATTTACTATATTACAAAAGAACATCTATCTTGGTAACATCAAATGACCGGAGTATAATTTGTCAACTAGTCTGAAAATAAGTTATACAGGAACAGTCAAAGACACGCTTTCTCACGTGTCACATTTCTATTCATTCAAAACACCATGAAGACATCATCATTTTTCTGAGAGTAGGTCGTGGAAGCACCGGTCGATGAAATCTTGGAGAGCGTCTAAACTCTCCTCATTGTCCTCCAGGGTGTTGGAGATAGTTGGACAAATGTGGTTAGTTAAATGACAATTGATTAGTGTATTTGGATTACTTGAAGTTTTAAAGCATTTTTTAAATTCTATGCTACCATTTACTTTTTTCCGCCAAATCTCCGGCGTCTGACGTCACCTACCGCATAATTCGCTTACCTTCTCCCGTCACTTCCGTCACTTACCTGTCACTCGCCTTCTCTTCCGTCACTCGCCTTCTTTTTAAAATATTAAGAGTACTTAATTTTTGCTAGAATTAGGTTGGGATTAGGGAGATTTATATGCCACCTGTGCGTACAACACATTGAATATAAAATGTTATCTGCTTGGGATCAAGAACAGGATCCAGCAGCACATTTCTCCCAAAAAATAAAAACAATACAAAAAAACCCAAAACAAAACAAAAAAACCCTCACAGCAGCAGCTCAGGATCACTTCCTGAACAGTCTCTATGTGTGTGGGATTCATTCACAATTTCTTTTTATAACTTTACTCACTGAAAACACTTTAATGGAGCCACACGTGTGTGAGGTCAAGGCAACAGAACAAGACAGGACACTGTTTTCAATAGTGTCTACAACAGTGTACAAAATAGCATGTTTCCCCTCCTCTTCCCCCTGTTTTCATTCTAGCTCATCTCTGTCCTGACATCATCCCTCCTCCAACAGACTGATCAGAAACTGTCTGACTGAAACTTATCCATCCATCCATCCATCCATCCATCCATCCATCCATCCATCCATCCATCCAACCAGCCAACCAGCCAAATAAATAAACTGGGTGGTTAGGTGCTGTCCCTGTATAGATGGATAAGCAGCATCGCACACAGTTCAACTTCATACATACTTAAATGATTGTATTCCCTTTTGCCTTTCTCTGTCTGATGCTTGGGTATAAATAAAGTTGCTATCACCATGTTTTGGGGTGTTTGTATGTCATGATGTTAATTTACATAATCATTTAAATGATTTAATTAACATTACATTACAAATTTTTATTTCTTACACACACTCTTGTCAAAAAAGCCATATTATACTCACAGTAACTCCATTCATAAAAATGATAAAAGAGCAAAACAAATTTACCATGAAAACAGGTTATAAATAAAGTAGATGTAAGATATCAAATAAGTCAATTTAATTACAATAGTTTATAAATTACTGCAACTAAAAACAAACAAATCAATCAGCTAACCAAGTGTGTTCATATTATTGTACAAACACCGCGTGTTACCCATGATCACTGCTGGAACATCTCCAGCTCCTAAACTCTGTTTCCTTCATAGCTCCTCTGGGATCACAGGCCTCGCTCCAGGCAGTAGATCTGTCAGAGTGAAAGTGTAAAGTATGGAAGGTGCAAGTAAATTACAGTATTACATTATAAACTACTTTTCCCATAAATATTATTCCCATAAATATTAAATAAATACATAATAGATAAATACATAAATAATATGTATTTTATTTTTAAATGCACATTCATTTATGTGTTAATGTTTCACAGCAAGACTGTGACTGAAGGGGACTCCAATAAAAAATGAAACAAATAAATAAATAAAAACTCTAGAAAGAATCAGCTGTGCTGCACATTAGCTGCAAGGCAGAGTCAGCTGTTGTTATC